AAATTTATTCACGTATAAAAAGAATAACAACAGTACCTATATATTTCATAATGTTGTAAGTATTGAATTATCACTATTGGCCAGGCATGGTGGCTCACGCCTGTAATCCCAGCACCTCGGGAGGCTGAGGCAGGCAGATCTCCTGAGGTCAGCAGTTCGAGACCAGCCTGGCCAACATGGCAAAACCCCCTCTCTACTAAAAATAAAACAATTAGCTGGACGTGGTGGCGGGTGCCTGTAATCCCAGCTACTCTGGAGGCTGAGGCAGGAGAATGCTTTGAACCCAGCAGGCGGAAGTTTCAGTGAGCCAAGATTGCAACACTGGACTTCAGCCTGGGCAAAAGAGCAAGACTCCATCTCAGAAAAAAAAAAAAAAAGAATTATTACTATTGCCACATCGGCCAACAGGTACATATGTCCTAAGGCAGGAAGAAGCATGGCACATTCAAACAGCAGAAATGGGCTGGGGCACAGTGAGCAAATGAGAAGAAAAGGAAAAAATGAGGTTAGAGAGGCAGGCAGGGGTTGAGTCATATAGGGCTTGCCACGTAGAGAATCCCTCATCACACTATAGTTGTTATTTACTTATCTGCAGTACCTGGCACAGAGCAGGCTACCTAAACGTTTGTTGAACAAATAGGCTAGGGGAAGTTCTTTGTAATCCCATAGGACTAGAGCCATTTTGAAACCTTCATTAATAAATTACATGTTTTGCTATACAAGTTTTCCCTTTTATAGGTTAATTTTTTTTCTGTGCCAGCTGTGTGCTGCCAGAGGGCAGGGCATGTGGGGCTTTTTTATTTTATTTATTTATGTTTGGGTTATTAAAAAGTTAACAATGGGATTGCATAGCATTATGACAGTGTGGCCAAATGATTAAGAAGTCAACACTTTGGTATTTGGAGGTTGATTATCTAATTTGTATATTAGTCACAGCTTTTGGTTTTTTGTTTTGGGTTTTTTGTTTTGTTTTCCTTTCTTTGTGAGACAGAGTCTTGCTCTGTCGCCCAGGCTGGAGTACAGTGGCATGATCTCGGCTCACTGCAACCTCAGTCTCCAGGGTTCAAGCAATTCTCCCGTCTATGCCTCCTGAGTAGCTGAGATTACAGGCACGCACCACCATGCCCGCCAATTTTTGTATTTGTAGTAGAGACGGGGTTTTGCCATGTTGGCCAGGCTGGTCTTGACCTCCTTACCTCAGGTGATCTGCCTGCCTTGGCCTCCCAAAGTGCTGGGATTACAGGAGTGAGTCACTGAACCCGGCTTAGTCACAGCTTTTGTAAAAATGACTAATTTGATACTAGTAACATTTCTTTTAAGCAAAGCAGAGTACAACTATTGTTTAAAAATTGTTGCCTGCCCACCCTCTCATTTATTTATTTTTTTGAGATGGGAGTCTTGCTCTGTTGTCCAGGCTGGAGTGCAGTGGTGCAATCTCAGCTCACTTGCAACCTCCACCTCCCAGGTTCAAGCAATTCTGCCTCAAGCTCCCAAGTAGCTGGGATTACAGGCACCGGCCACCACACCCAGCTAATTTTTTTTTTTTTTTTTTAAATAGAGACGGAGTTTCGCCACGTTGGGCCAGGCTGGTCTCGAGCTCATGGCCTCAAGTG